CTTAAACCCACAGGGAGCAGAGGCTGAATCGCAACTCCAAAGGACCCAGACAGACTTTTAAGATGTGCTGAGAACGTTTTTTTAATGAGAGGTAAACAAGGAAAAGTTTTCTCTCCTTTCAATTTTAGAAGTCACATCATTCTGTCATAGGGCAATATGTGCTCTTCACCTTTAAGATAATCATCAATCCAGATCCGCTTCCAAACTGATTTAGCTCAAAGTTTACCTTTCCTCCTAAGTATTAATAAATTCTAATAATTTCACTCAATAATACTCATCTGTCCTTCTCAGACATTCCTGGAAATCAAGATCAGGGTGAATTTGTGGAGATCCACTGCACTACATGAATGGGTTAAGTACCCCTTCAAGCTCCTTTGCATCCCACAAATATTCCTTCCTCAATGTCTAAGATTTTCATTGATTTACTCAACAAATATTTGACATCTAGTATGTGCCACAAAGTCAGACGCCAGGGGAGGCAAAAAGAGTAACACAAAGTCCCTGCCTTCAAGGAACCTTCAACCAGGTCTGGAGTGCTGGTGGGTACACATGCAATAGTGTTAATGGGTGCTTTAGTGATTCCGGATCTGAGAGAAAGCACAAGAAAGGAGTGGTCAAAGGGAGAAGCCAGCAACAGAGATTAAACAGAGAAAAGGAGACACAACCCAACAATGAACATCACAGTCAAAGGTAAAGAGATGTGCAACATGCTCCATCAAAGCCTTGCTGGTTCACAGACCAGCAGCACCTTTATCATCTGAGGGCTTGTTAAAAATGCGGAATCTCAGTCCCCTACCTATACCTACAAAGTAAGAATCCACATTTTCAGAGGATCCCCAGGGAATTCTTATGCTCATTACGGTTTCAGAAGCCCTGCTGTGGAGGACTCTGAAGTAGAGTTGGAGATGGCTAGCACAGAGGACACCATGGGAATGAACTCACAAGAAGTGAGGCTCCAGAGGCATCTCCAGATCATGAAGCACCTTATCCTGGAACAAATGGGAGCCACCACAGTGTCTAATTCTTAAGTAGGAAAATGACAAGATCAAATTACCAGGGAAACTACAGAATAAAGTGGAGGTTGGAAGAAGAGGGAAATCATTCCAGATGAAGTAGCTCTAACAGAACTTAATCATTTGTGCAATCAATACATAGGAGGGAGGATGGGAACAGGGAAGTGTCAAAGAAATATGAATGAAAAATCTCTATAAAGCTGACAGAAATAGCAACATTCACTAAAACAGGGGACGCACGAGGAACAGATTTGGGAGGAAAGATGAATCCAGTTTGATATTTTCTTTTTTTTTTTTAATTTTTAAAATTGAAGTATAGGGCTTCCCTGGTGGCGCAGTGGTTGAGAGTCCGCCTGCCGATGCAGGTGACACGGGTTCGTGCCCCGGTCCGGGAAGATCCCACATGCCGCGGAGTGGCTGGGCCCGTGAGCCATGGCCACTGAGCCTGCGCGTCCGGAGCCTGTGCTCCGCAACAGGAGAGGCCACAACAGTGAGAGGCCCGCGTACCACAAAAAAAAAAAAAAAAAAAATTGAAGTATAGTTGAGTTACAATGTTGTGTTAGTTTCTGGTGTACAGCAACAGTTTGAGATGTATGGGTTTGAAGTACCTATAGGTCAACCAGTGGAGGTGCCTAGTAGCAGGCAGGCACCTCCAGGAGGGAAAATATTGCCATCATCAGATAGGCAGGTATCAGCTGATGCCCTAAAAATGGAAGAGGTCGCCCAAAGGGAATGAAAAAAAATGAGAAAACAAAAGGACTAAGGACAACCACCGCCACCCCGCAAAGATATCAGCATTTAAGAGATGAACAGAGGAAAAAGGATGCAAAAAATGAGAAAAATTCTAAAGAGAATAAAATCAAGAAAGAGTGGTGTCATCTTCAATGCCAATAAAAGGGTTTCATTAAGGGGGAAATGGGAGACAGTAATGCCAGAGGTCAAGGCCTTAAGAGTGGATCTGGGGGCTTCCCTGGTGGCGCAGTGATTAAGAATCTGCCTGCCAATGCAGGGGGCACAGGTTGGAGCCCTGGTCCGGGAAGATCCCACATGCCGCGGAGCAACTAAGCCCGTGTGCCACAACTATTGAGCCTGCCCTCTAGAACTCACGAGCCACAGCTACTGAGTCCGCGTGCCACAACTACTGAAGCCCGCGCACCTAGAGCCTGTGCTCCGCAACAAGAGAAACCACTGCAATGAGAAGCCCGCACACTGTGACGAAGAGTAGCCCCCACTCGCCGCAACCAGAGAAAGCCTGCGCACAGCAACAATGACCCAACGCAGCCAAAAATAAAAAAAATTTTTGTAAAAAAAACCAAGAGTGGATCTGGTTATTAAGAAGTCCCTTAAAAAAATTAAATGAAATAAACTTACATCTCACACATGCCTAATTTTAAAAGCACCCTCTCTCTCTCTCTGTATATATATATATATATATATATACACACATCTCAATGGCTCTCTGTGGGTGATAGAATTAAGAGTGATTTTTAGTTTATTGCTTTCCCCCCCAATATTTTGCAATTGTTCCTGAAGGCACATAAGTTCTAAAATTTAAAAATACATAATAAAAAGTTAATAAATAAAACAACGATGGCTATTCCCAGTGTTGTGGCTGCAGTGGGTCAAAGAGCGAATTCGAAGTGAAGAAATGAAGGAGACAGGAGTACAGACAGGAAGAGACTGGGGAGCATGTGGAGTTAAGTCCAGTTTCAGGAAAGGTTTTGTTTTTCAGGTGGGAAAGATGTGAGCATGCTTACAGGCTGTGGGTAGGAAACTGTATAGAAAATGTTCAGAGTCCAGGAGAACAAGAAAACAAACACTTCTTTACTGCCTGCTATGAGCTGAGCACACAATGGTGAACAAGACTAAGTTCTAAGGAAACAAGCAGCAGGCAGATAAATATCAGACAAGTGAGACACGCCGTGATACAACTAAAATAGGGTTTGCACTGAGTGTTGAGGTTAGGCCTCCCTGAAGAGATAGCATTTAAGTTGAGTCCTGAATGACAAGAAATGAGCTTTAAAAGAAGAGGGAAAGGCCTTGTTACCTCTACTTCACAGACAATGAACTGAGGATCAAAAAGGTTAGGTAAGGTTATGCAGCAAGTAAATGGAATCCAGGTCTGATGAGCAGACCAACACCCTCTCTACTAGACTGTGTTCCCCCTACTGTTTTCCTCAAACGCAACAGCGAAGATGAACTGTAACATCGACCCTCCCCTGGCCTCACAGGGATGTTAAGGACTAGAAAAATATAAATAATTGGCACAACTTTCTCAAAAGAACATCTCTGAAAGCCAAGAAGTGTAGATCTGTGAAAGCAGAGGCACAACTTCTAAAGGTTAACTGTTCAGGCCTAATGAGAAAATTCAGGTGGGCTCCAAGTCATAAGCAGACTACATTCCAAAGATGTATAACTAAGTTGCTAAGAAGTCATAAAACATTTCCTCCATGTAATTCTACACATAAAGTAGGTTTCCAAGGACCACAAAAAATCCACACAATCACAGCTATTACTGTTACTATTATAGTAACTAATACAGCATTTACGAGGAACCAGGCCCAAAGAGATTTATATAGATAACCTCATGCAATGTCACCAACACTATTACTACTCCCACCTTATAACTAAAGAAACTGAGGCCTGTCAACGTTACGTAACTTGTCCAGTGGCATAATGCAAATAGAGAAGCCCGCAGTCCAGCCCTGGCCTATTCCAGATCCTCTGCTCTTAGTCCTTATGCTGTCTCCCAAAGTACCTCTATTTATAAACACTCGTCTTTCAAAATCAGTTTTTCTTCAACTCTAAAACCTCAGTGCCCATCTACCCTTCTCAGGCGATCAGAATACTACTCAAACGTAAAATAGATAGCTAGTGGGAAGCAGCCGCATAGCACAGGGAGATCAGCTCGGTGCTTTGTGACCACCTAGAGGGGTGGGATAGGGAGGGTGGGAGGGAGGGACATGCAAGAGGGAAGAGATATGGGAACATGTGTGTGTGTATGGCTGATTCACTTTGTTACAAAGCAGAAACTGACACACCATTGTAGAGCAATTATACTCCAATAAAGATGTAAGAAAAAAAAAATACTACTCAAATTAACACCTTCATCAAGCTTCCTTATCCTCTCCCTGGCAAAGTCTATACCAAACTTACCCCCTGATAAACCTCAATCCATGAGAGCATTTATTCACACATTTGACACCCACTGAGAACTTAATTTGCCTTTGCACCCCCAGTTCCCACAGAGTGCCTAGAATGTGTCCACTGATCCATTCACTGACATTTACAGAGTCTACTGTCCCGACTCCCAACCCGCTGCACATCTTCGTAAATACTGAGGTAAACTCCACTGAAGAAAACGGAGGCAAAACCCCACACTGATGATTATTAAACTTCCACCTCTAAACTACCCCAAGCTCACCCACAATTCCCAACCTATCCTCCCTCCAAAAAGAAAGCTCTCGAAACCTAAATCGTAGATGGTTACTAAGCACCAATAACGCTTGCACGTGGGACAACACCCGAGCCGGTCAATCATAGAAGAGTAACACCTGACCCCCAGCAGCAGCCTTCAAAGCCCCTCTCAGCTTCTTAAGACGTCCGTAACCAGAGGGCAGGATGACCGAGTCCGAGGCGGCGATGGCATGATCCATGACGGAAGCAAGCCACGCCCGCGGCCGTAACCTTCTGAAGGCGACCAACCCTGTCACCCTAAACCCCCCGGTGAGGAGCGTGATACGAGGCCCGGGGACGCCTGGCCCTGGAGCAGCGAGGAGGGTGTGGAAAGAGCACAAGTGGGACCCGGCCCTCGCCCACGTCCACGACCCCGAGGAACTGCCGCGCTGCAAGCGGGCTGAGAAAGCGGTCGGGCACTCACCCGGCGACGCGCCCGGCGCGAGCGGCGTGCGGACAGAAGGCGGCGTGCGGCCGGCTCGGGCCACCCGCTAGAAGGCGCAGGGAGAGCGGGAGGTGCGCGGCCGCCCCGGCGCGGAGGAGCCAACGGGCCGGTCTCAGCAGGGCCGCCATGGCTCCGCCGTCCCCACCGTACGCTGCACGCTGGGCAAGGATGGGGGAGCACGTGACCACGGGGTCGTCCGGCGCGGGAGAGACCAAAGGCCGGGCGCGCCAGACGTAGGGGGAGGCACGTGTTGTTATAACTTGGAAGATTGAAAAACCTGTTTCTCCCAGGACATATGATCCCCACGAGATATGTGCATTACAAGGTAGCTTGATATATCATTCCACGGAGCGTCTCTTTCCTTCACGTCAGCATGTTCAGTCTCTCCACCCCTTCACTTTTCAGTTGGTAGAGTCGGAAGAGGTCGACTCCTCCCAGGTTCGCGCAAGGGCTTGCGGGGGGCCAACTAGCGAGAACACCCGGGAACTCTCGAGAAGAGCCGACTGTGAAGAACCCGGAGTTGGGACTTTTCTCTGCAGAGTGCGGGAGTTGTAGCCAACGTTACGCGGTTCCCGCTCCAAGCCGAAGATGCCGCGCCTACTGAGAGGAACGTACTATAGTCAGAAGTGTGGGACAGGAAGAACGTTAAGGACCTTTGCACTGTGCTAGGGGCCTCCAAGGTTAAATGTGATGTGATTTGTGTGCTTGGGGCCAGGGGACAGTGTAAAGGTATACGGAGGTACAACTTTTAAGTCCATGAGCAGTGCCTTGCTTTATGAAATGGATGGATTATAACGAAGGTCGTATAGTTTTAAAGCTGGCGGTGAACGCATTATATTCCCCAACTCCCACCCCACCCATTCCTTCAGTAAATGCACCAGCAAGATAACAGTATACTTAAGAGTCCTGAAAAAAAAAAGTCCTGAGCCAAGTCTGGGGATAAAATAGGAGGCCCCCAGCCTTACGACCTGGAAGGGTACCCTGTGCATGTAAATCAACTTAAAAGAGTTTTTGCATATTATATATGTAAATTTGGGTTCCAAGTTCCCAAGTTACCCAAAGGTTTCGATTCATAAACATAACTTTTAAAACTACTGTAATATGCCATCTCAGTTTGTAAAAACACTAATTGATAGTCAAGTTATGTATGTATTTTCAAACACAATTCAGAGCAGCTTTCTCAGCAAAGTTTTGCCGGTTCAGTGTCTGTTGGGGCAATCGGAGTTACGTGGGAAGCCGAGAACAGGCTTCAAGTACAGACAACTCTCCAGCGCCCTCTTCACCTAGCTGTATTCTAAGCATTCCCAGGTGAAAGCTCAGAAGTTTTTTCCGGAAGCCGGACAAGGAGCTCCTTGAAAGCAGGAACCGTGCGACCTTTTCCTGTGGCGGAAGCACCTACCCAGTGCCAAGCACACGGTAGGTTGCATTAAATAATTACTGAATAAATGTGTTTGGAGGTTATCCAGCTCATTTTTCCTTTGAGAGATGAGAAAAATGAGATCCAAAAAAAGGTTAAATGATTTACTCTGGGTTATACTACTAGGCACTAGGATATAATTTATTTATTCACTCATTCAACACTGATTTATTGAACACATAAATAGTGTTCTCAAATAGTGCCAGGCACTATTTGAGATGCGGATACAGCAGAGAACAAAAGAGACCAAGTCTGGATTTTGATTCGATTGGCTCCAAAGTTTAGTTTGGGAAGACAGATAAGAACTGTGATGTAAAATAAATAAGGGGAAAAGAATTGAGGATGGTATGCTTAACCTCCTCGGAGAACAATGAGGACTGTGTGGATGAGAAGAAAGAGCAAATGGGGTGGCGGGGACCGTGGGCGTTGGGCCTCATCATGCAGAGTGTTGTAGTAAGGGCTTTGATTTTTATTCAGAATGAGATGGGAAACCACTGGAAAGTTTAGTATGTTGTGATATGAATCCATTTGCATTTTTAAAGGATTACACTGGCTGCTGTTTGAAAAGGTGATTTTAAGGGAATAGGATAAATAAAAGTAGGGAGACCAGTGAGGAGGCTTTTGCAATAATCCAAAGTACAGATGGTAGTGGCTTGGACAAGGGGGGTGGCAGGTGAAAGAATGAAAAAGGGTCAGATCCTCACTCTATTTAAATAGAACCAAGAGGATTTACTGATGGATTGGCTATGGGATGTAAGTCAAAAATGACTCCAAAATTTTTGACCTGAGCAATTAGAAAGATAGAGATGGCACTGATTAAGAAGAGAAAGACTGAGGGGAAAGCAGATTTAAAAGGTGAAATCAAAAGTAATCTGGAATATTAAACTTGAAGTGCCTGTTAGACATCCAAATGTCAAGTTTGAGTAGGGGGTTGGCTGTATGATATACAAGTCTGGAGTTCAGAGCTAAAGATACACTTGGGAGTTTATAGTCTGTATCTATTATTTGAAGCCATAGAAATGGATGAGAAATGGACGAAAGCACCTAGGAGGAAAATACGGATAGACAAAAGATGAGGTCGAAGGACTGAGATTTATGACACTTCAGTATTTAGAGGATGCGAAGATGAAAATCCAGCACAAGAAACTGAGAAAGAATAGCCAGAGAGGTAGGGGGAGAACCAAGAGAGAGTAGTGAATTCACAAATAACAGAGGGAAACCTTTCAACCATGGGAATTATCAACCATGTAAAATGCTGCTGTTCTGGTAAAATGAGCACTCAACATTGACCATAGGATTTCTCAACCCAGGGGTCCCTGGTGATGCTTAGAAGAGCCATTTTGGTGACATGCTGAGCTAAATGATTGAGCGAAGCAAGTACATGAAGGAAGGGGAAGTGGAGATTTAAATTTAAATAAATTTTAAAATTCAGTTCCTTAGTAATTAACCACATTCAACCACATATAGCTAGTAGCTACCGTATTGGACAGCGCAGAGAACATTTTCATCATCATAGAAAATTCTACTGGACAGTGCTGCAGTAAGGGGTGAAAAATTGATAATGCAGCCTAAGACGGAGAAAGAGTACATTGAATATGCAAGACGGGATGGGATCCAGTACAAAAGTGAAGGGATTGACTTTAGGTAAGAATCCAGACAGTCCAACCAATGTCACAGAAGGAAGGACAAGGCATGTGGTTGCAGAATCAATGAGGCTGGTAGAGGCAGTAGTGAGAATGAATGCATATTCTTTTCTACTTGCTTCTAGCTCTGAAACCCTTAATCCCCAACCAAGATTCTCTCTGTTCTTGTACCAGGCTTCCTCTTGAAGTATGAGGCAATACTGATGAAATTTGTCTAGGCATTCATTTATTCAATCATAAATGTATTCACTATTAAACCCCTAAGTTCTGCCAGGCAGCAAGTTAAGTGTAGAAAAAAACATGATGGGCAAAAGCAGGCATGGTCCTTACTGTTATGGAAGTTACATTCTAAGGGACAAGGCAGATATTAATAAAATAATCACACTAAATGAATTAAACACTGAAACAGGGGTTCTGAAGGAAAGAGACATGTTTCCTTGAGCGAGTATGCCTCACCTGGGAATCAAAAAAGGTTTCCAGGGAAGGGATCTTTAAGTTGAGGTCTGAAGGATGACTAGCTGTTAACACATGCAAGGTATGTGCTGTGTGTGTGTAAGAGAGAAAGAGTGGTTTTGCCTGGTTTTCAGTTCAGACTTAACCAAGTTGTTCTCAGATTTCTTTAGTCTCCAGAAGATGTGACAAAGTGGAAGAGAAGCCCAGGTTGAGCATCCTTGGTTTCTCCCTCAAGTTATTCTGAACTATGAAATGCGTTCAACTGTTGGTTAGAAAATTAGGGGTCCCCATCCCAGTAAATAGAATAGCCTCTGAACAGAATTTTAACAGTTTAGAAGCCAGACTTTGCAGAAGTACTTAACTGCTTTTTTTTTTTTTAATGTGTAAAACTGGTGATATCTACCCTTTCCTCCCAGGATTATTTGGGAATATTAGTGACGTACTTACAGGCGCATAGGAAACTGTGAAAAATAATGTTACTACTATCAATATTGTTGTTGCTTTTCATAATCAAGTCTAAACCTCATGAATTTGGGTTCTTCTCCAGTCTCTCCCTGGGGTCCAGTTTTTGACCCCAACATCTTTACTGCCTAATAATCTATGGCCAGTGTCCCAAATTCCTAACTTAGTTTTCCAGTTGTTAAATGCTTAGTGTAAGCAAAGCTCGGGGCAAGTTACATCTCAGGGCAAAGAAATTATTCATACTACATTTGATGAGCTTAATTTATAGGAGAGGATAAAACACATATTGTATATAGATAACCATCACATTAGGCAGTGTGATGAGTAGAATGAAGAAGAGACAAGCCAAATGATAGCCAGGCAGGAGAACAGAAGAAGGTTTCATAGTGGGAATGATATTTCAGCCCTCGTAGGCTGGGGAAGATGTTAAGTAGTAGACATCATGGCGAGAGGACTTCTAGTCAGAGGGAACAGTAAAAGTAAAGATACAGAGCTCTCCTTTCTGTATATACATCGCTTCTTAAACTGCAGAAAGTGTTTTTGGACACAGAAGTTTGCCCAGAGCCTATCGAGTAAAGGAGAGGATCTCTAAACCAGTGGTGTTCACGCTTCCGTGGCTATGACCAATGGTAAGAAAATACATTTTATAAGTGACACAAATACACACATACCAAAAAATTTTATAAAACAGTAATGAGCCTTGCTGCGTGTGATGCCATTAGATATTTACTTATCTACTTTCTATTTCATTTTTTAAAATGCTGATTGATCCTAATTCAAACAAACCAGCTAAAGAAGACATTTTTAGACACGAGTATAATGCACAATACAAGAATTATTGCTTTTTTAGTGTAATAATGGGCTCTGTTGCTGTGTAAGAAAATACTTGTATATTTTTAGAGATACATGCTGGCATATGTAGAAGTAAATTAACATGCTGTGTGGAATTTTCTTGAAGAAACCTCCCCAAGGAATAAAAGTTAGAACAAAAGGACATAAGAAGCAAGTGTGAATATCTTCCTATTTTTAAAATCTGGGTGGGTGTATAGGAGTTCATTTTACTATTCTCTCTACTTTATATATGGTTTTAAGTGTTCATAAAGAAAAAGATCTTAAATGCTGGTTGTATTTTGATTTCACTATTCATTAATACAGCATGACTTGGAGTTTGAAAAACACTGTACTCAGTCATGTCAATATAAGTGCAGGGTAAACAGAAACAGGCAGATAAATGTATCAGACTGTACCTCTTCGAACTGGAGACGTGTTCATGGGAACAACATGATTGATTGACTTCTCCAGCAAATAGTTGCTCACACATTAAAAGTTGCTGTTGTTGCTAAGTCATTTTACATAAAACATGAAATATCTGAGATTGTAGCTAATACAATCTAAGACAAAGATTTTCATTTAAGACCAAAGTTAAAAAAAAAAAAAAGATTTAACTTCAAAATTCTTAGCTGAAAGTACGGTACTCAACGCCCTGAATGGGAAATTTACAAGGCGGTGGACATTAATCTCACTTAGGTCAAATTCACCTTTTCTTGGCCTCATATAATTTATGAGGAATCGCAAAGAATCAAAAACTAGAGCTGATCATTCATAATTGTTTGTTGGCCTTTTTGGAGTCTCCTCCAATTTTCACACAAATAACATCCAAACTACTGTGAGCAAAGAACCAAGTGATTGCCTTGAGTTTAAAAGCCTCGTTTGCTTAAAAGCCTTAACATATTTTAAGCAGCAGATTTAATGTTTAGTTATGATTGTATTTTTTCTTAAGGCAACTTGTCTGATGAATCAAGGGCTTCTTCCATCTGTGACTACGTTTTTCATATCCAAATTTATACATGTATGTAATTCCCAATTATTCAAAAAATATTCTGCTCAGACCTTTATTTGCAGACAGCCCCGAGATTCTCATTATAAGTGGAGGTCCAATTTGTCATTGTTACACCCTTCAGCAACACTTCCATCAAACAATAATTCTTTCGTAAGTGCACAAACCAGGAAGACAGGTGCAGGGTCATTTACTGTAAGAAAGTAACCAGCATTGGCAACAAGGGGTTATTGCTGATATTTTCCCAGTGTTACCATGTGTGAAGGCTGAAAGTTTATGTGTTTCCCACAGGGCGGATAGTGTCCGGATAAATCAATATAGAATAGTAGTCAAACGTAATTGGCATTTCAATGTACTATACAACTGAATCCCTTCAAGACAGAAAACAGTTATCATCCTTGTAATAGCTGAACATAAACTTTAGGAAGTCTTTATTAACAGTCATTGTTAATTCCTAAAATGTGACATGGGTCTCTTAAATTTCCCGTTTAACTGAAGTTTTTGTTGTTGTTTTTAAGGAACTAGAAAATATATTTAATTTTCTAAGAGCAATAGGTAATACGAAATTTTGTTTTAGCTTGTGTCTCTCCAAGGGTTGGAAAGT